AGAATTTATGGTTCATTTATCATAAATATTTTTATATCACCCTTCAATTTACATACCGCAAACAGATGACAAAATTAAAATATAGCATGTTGCTGAGAAGACTATCATAGATATGCAGCAATAAATAAATTAATCAATAAATAGTCCTGAAGTGAAGGGAAGTGGCAGCAGATGGTTTGTCATTTCCAAAGCCTTTCTAGTCCATGCCAAAGGGGTGGTGTGGGTGGGGGGACCACCTTTTTGGAAACAAGTCTCTCTTTTTAAAATGATCCCTTTTGTTGGTTCTAATGTGAGGCGGAAATACTTAGGACAGCCTGAAGCAAGTGTGCAGGCAAGAGACTTTGGATCCAGCGGATTCTGCAGTCTGTCCCGTCATGAGGCCTATTATTGGCGGTAATACAAAAATCAGTAGATCTTTGTCCAAGAAGCTTTGTGTGGGCATAATTAGGGTACTTAAAAAGCGCTCCCTTTTAAGCAGAATTCTAGATGTGGAGGGGCATTTACACCTGATTCTAACCCTCTTTAGTTTGTATGGCAGGAAATTGACCTGCTGTAACTTTCAGTATGGAATTTTGGAATTGTAGAGATATTCCCTGAGAAGCAGGGCAACTAAGACAGAACTTATCCAGCCCAAGGAGTCCAATCTCATTCCTGACATATTAAATGCATTCGACAGCATAGAAGCCCAGACTGGTGTACCAAAAGCAGATGGCAGCTCTCTCCAGCAGTGCCTGCATTGTATTTAAAAACAGACAAACATTACAACACAATATATGTACAAGAAGCAGACTTATGCCTTTTTGGATTGGGAACTGCCCAAATGTGAAGATGGGTATCCACGGCTTAATTTTTACCTTCGATTTACAGGAATTGGAAACTTTGCTCTTTTTTCCGTCTTAAGTTCCCAGAATCCCACAGCTGGCACAACCCTTGCCATTCTGATTCTGGGAGATGTAGCCCCCCCAAAAAGCAAACTTCCCCATCTCTGAATGGTAGTGTTGCAGCCTTGCTTAAGACTGTAACCCAGATGTGTGACTTGATCACCAACTAAGGACCACCATAGCAATTTTATACATTACTGTATAAAATATCTCCACAGGCTTCTGTAATTCTGCATCATGTGGGCAGTTATCCTGATTTTTTTCTTTTTGCCTAGTATGTTTATTTAGAAGTGCCCCCAAATCATCCAAGTAATGTAATAATAATGTTTGTACCATATTTATGGTTATGCACATAAAATGCTGTATAAATAGTAGCTGTGGTAATTACTCAGTGATTACTATAAACCATTAGTTAGTTTAAATGATTAATGACACATCGCCATCTCTCTCCTGAGGTATCAAATGCATTCTGCAGCATGGAAGCAAATTATTACTCTGATTAGTCTGCATTAATATTATAAATGTGGTCTGGGAAGGGAAAAAATGAACACTGTACATAGAGAGAAAAGCAACTGACTCTGTTTTGGTCTTTGGAATCTCTTTGGGGCTCACCTTCACCGAATGCTTTCCTCAAAGAAGTTCAAAGGGATCCTCATCAAAGTATGCAACAGTTCTGTTACCCAGTTGCCTCGTTAGCAAAACTGTGTATAATCAGGCTTACCCTCTTACAGGCTTTGTGTCAGGCTGGCATTATTTGTTAGAGGAGGCTGTGAAAGTCCTTTAAGATTCCTGTGCATACAGAATCACAATCCAGTGGTGCCATTTTCTTTAAGCATGCTTGATGAACTCCTATGAAGAAAACAATGTGAAATTCTCCCGTTGGCAGAATACAGCACTCACAGCATGGGCACAACAAAAAGTGTGTGTGTGTGTGTGTGTGTGTGTGTGTGTGTGTGTGTGTGTGTGTGTGTGTGTGCGCGCGCGCGCGCGCGCGCGTGCGCGCATGTATGCGATGGCAGGATACAGCAAGCACTCACAGCATGGGCACAACATCCTGGACAAACCTGTGTGTGTGTGTGCGTGTGTGTGTGTGTGCGCGCGCGCGTGCGTGCGTGCGTGCATGCATGTAAATATCAGAATCATGAAAGGAATGCCAGCTCTAGCTTGCCAGGACAGATAGGGTTGGGACCATAATTGGTCATGTTTTCTTATTTGGGATCAGAAAGTATAACTTCAAGTAGTCACCACTCTCTGTGAGGTGCCTTCTGAAGATCAGGAGGTTTGTTAGCCTGGAACTATGAGTAGGCCCAGGCAAGAAGCCTTTTCCACTAGGACATGCTGCAGTTGGTTATGGTGTGTGAATAAAGAAATTGCCCCAGTGAGATTTATTTCAGTCAAATGGTTGGAGGACTGTCATCGATGAAGTCAGGCTGATTCTTTATTCTTCCTGCTTTCCTCCTATCATAGTCAAGGCAGCTCCCTTCCTTAGTCTTTGTATTTGTTGAAAGCTTAATGGCCAAACCATACGAGAGAGCAGCTTCAAAGTTAGAAGGTGATAAAACACTAGCCTTCCAGAGATTTGTTTTATTTATGTCGCATTTTCTTCAAAGGCAACTTCCAAATGAAGCCCACTGTTTACCTCCTGATGGCCAGTGACCAAATGAAACCTAATTTCCAAGTTGCCATGCTGTGGAAACTTCATGCTAGAATTTTTAAAATCCCATTACCTCATAAGGATGTGCTGCTTCTGTGTATTAAGCTGGCATGTTGTATAGTTTGAGACTGGAAAAGTATACAGGTATGGCAGGACAAGCTAGGAAAAGACCTTGGTGTTCATTATCCTTATTGCTCAAGTTCTGTGTTACTTATGATCCAGGTTCTTTGTTTTACACAGGCTGCTTTTGATCCTGAAACCCAACAATGGCTGCGCTGAACTTGACTGCTATATTTTACCAGAATCAAATCATTAGCAAAGCTACAGCATTTCTTTGCCCAGCCCAGAGTCAAAAATAATTTACCAAGAGATAGAACCCAGGGCTTTGGCAAGAGGAACTCAGTAGCTTGTCCTTCCCCAAAGTCCCAATTCTGGCACCTGAATAACCTGTTAATCTGCTCCTTCTAATTTGGACAGATTCCTGGCCAATTTCTTTTCATTTTGCACAGCAGAAACTGGATTTTCGAAACAACGCAGCCTCTTTCAAAAACGTCTGATAAAATCACAGGAGAATGCAACTACTCAAGCCTTGATCTACCTTCAGAGGGTATTCTCCTTGCCCATTACAAGCTCCAACTCTGTTTATATTTTTTTTTTCTGTAACGAGGATGTGTCTAGAAAAAGATTAATGCTGTCTTTAAACCACCTTGTGGGCTGTATCCCAGCCAATTAAAATAGACCTTTCCTGCTAATCCAGTGGAAATACTGCAGTCAGACTCCCTTCATTGGTTCAGTTCCCCTTGCCTTCTCCTCTAGCCAATGCCCACTGTTATCTTGCCAAACTCCTTTCAAAGAGATTGAAATGGCACAGAATATAATCTCAATCACTTCCAGCTGGCATAATTTACTTCCCTGTTTGAAAAAAGAGAGCAATCTAAGGAGGACTACATCTTGAATGTAAGTGTTTTTGAAGTGTAATTCTGGGATGCCCATTTTCCTCTTCGGATACCATGACCCTCTCTGCCCCCTTTCCTTTCCCCACCTGAATGTCTTCCTGTCTTCCTCTCCCTCTAAATTCCGTGTCTGTTTTTCTGTGTCACTCCCTTCTCCTCTAGAAGTTCTAGGACCCCACATTTGCCTATGCCCAATGACCATCCCCTCCAAGAACTAAAATCAAAGACGCCATAACTTGCTGCGGACCCCACTGCCTTTCTTGGACTGAACATGTCTACTTCAGTGATTTTCCATGATAGAAATAAAGTTCAGTTTGTGGAACTGTATTTTAGTGTTTGTTTCTTGCACTTGGCATGTACTGGTCTCTTTGTCATCCACGAGTTAACTGATTTCCCGTTAAATGCTCTATAGCATTATATGATATACCTCATTGCAAGTATTTGCATGATTTGTTTCTTGTATGTATAGTCTGTGAAAGAGATGACATTGCATGGGCATAATTTACTAGAACCACTACTGTCAATATTCAAAGATCTTTTCTATCTGTGTATTTTCAGAATGTCTGTAAATTTGTACATACTTAACACATATTTTTGAGAGCCCATCTACTATCTACTGTCTGGATCAGCTTTGCTACTGGTAATATGGACAATCTGGATGAATAAGGAAGGATCCTTATGCAACTGATCATCTTTGAGGAACAGTATGTTGTGGATAAATTTCCCTAAGGTGGAGGTGGTGGATTCACTGGCACATCAAAGCAAGCCAGTAAAAGGTGTCCCTAACTACTGCTACTGCCTGAGCCTACAAATGTGGCAATGGACCAAGGCCAGTCCCAGTGGCAGAACAAATATAGTTGGATGTGTGCTGGGTTTCAGTGGCCCAGGCGGTGCTTGCTGCTCTTCCTGTTGCTTACCTGCCCATAACAATATTAAGCAGAATCAGCTTGCTGGTCTTACCCTTGTCATGGTGGGGATGGCATAGTTAAAAAGGTAAACTGGTGAGTTTGACTGTGTAGTCCTATTGCTGTTTCATCATTGTTCATCGTCATCGCCATCATCACCATCAGTGGATAGCTTCCCTAATCTCAAGCATCCCGGTCATTGCACCAAGAGGAGAAATCTTCCAAATGGCTTCTAAAACATGGGGTAGGACTTGAGTGAGGTGTACCCCAGACTCCACTCATTTTTCTTCTAGAAGAGTGTGACCCTAATCACAACAATACGATCCTTACTTCCTGGTTTGGCCCTCTACCAAAGAACATTGTCTCTATCATAGCTGTATGATGTTTCTGTGGAGTAATTCCCAGCACAGTAATTCACCATACACAGAAAAGCAACATAAAGAATGAGAACGTTAGTGGGATAAGCATATAGGTATGGAGATGAGGAAGGACACTGGAGACACAGTTTGCTGGATAACACACTTTATATTTAACAAAATAATTTTTTAATAATATATTTTTTCAAATAGTATTTTCTAGAATCCCATTTTTACAGTAGAGTGTTTGTTTTTGTTTTCACTAGTTTTCAGGCACACTATTGTTTAAAGGTGTTTTTTTTAAAAAAATCAGGATCCTTGTTGACCATTATCCTTTTTAGAAAGACCTAGACAATCTCGTTTCAGTAGCAGGTTGACTACTGGAGCCACCCCTCCAGAAGGGAGGATCTGGCATAGCTATATTGTCGCTTACACTGAATGGATGATCTGGGCCTATAGTGTGGCTTGTGTTTGATGTACTTGGATGCTTTTGAGGGTCCACCCTGCCTTCATGAATGGTGCCCAGCTCCACATGACGCTTGGAGAGTGATGCAGTTGTGGCATCTGAACTGTGAGGCGGAATAGGTGCTACAGCAAACTCTCCCAGCCAGACTATGATTCCTAGCCAGCTTGACTGAATGTAGGATTGTTGTGTTATATAGTCCAAAGAGGAACCTGGTTGGAGAAGGATGTGGGGAAGGGTCATGATCAGGAACCTCTAATCTGAGTTGAGATTCTTTTGCAGTTGCCAGACAGGGGATGATTGCATGGCATCTCCTTCTGCCTCTTTCTCAGTCTCTCTCCCTCTCAGGTCTGACCACCAAGGACATGGTCTGAAGGCACATGGCATACCATCTTTGCTGATGCTGAGCAGGTCAAAATTGGTCAGTACCAGGATAGAAGAACATTTGGTACCTCAATACTTGTCATGCCAAAAAGGAAGGTCATGAATGAAATATGTAACTGTTGTCAGAAGAATCAATAACCATGGTTGACACCTCTAAATTGCAGCAGAGCTTCCTAAATGGATGAAACTCAGCATCTGAGGGGGACAGTCAGGTGTTGTTCATCAGGCTCACAAAGCAGTTCTTCCCATGTATGAAGATATAGGATTTACTCATGGCAGCTTGTATAGCAGGTTGAGGCCTTTAGTGTATTAGGATGGCAAGTGAGGTGCAACAAACACAGTGCTTTCTCACAGGTTTACCAGATTGACCAGCCTGAAAAGGGAATGGAGTCTGTTTGGGAGAGGGCACCTGGGTAATATAGAGCATAGCAGAGGACTCCTGACTGCTACTGAAATCTGCCCAGCATTAATACTCTGAGGGAGAAATGGAGGCCATGTGAGGTGGAAACTATAAAGATATTCTCCCCACCCCCGTGCCACAGGAAGGGTTCAGGAAATAAAAGAAGGTCTATGTGGACACCTTTACCAAATACTGGTAAATTTACCAAATGGAGATATAAAATGGCTCCTCTATAGCTATATGGATTACTTCCAAAATAGCAGCTGATGGGTTTTTTTCTGAGACAGTTGTACTTCAGAATGTAGGTGGGAAGTGAATCTTGAAGGGCTTTCCCCACATAAGAAAATCCCCTTGTACATCTAAAACTCCACGTGATGGAGGAGGTCTAGAATAAAACTCATCTTCCTGCTACTGTAGTTGTCTCCTGTCAGCCATGTCTCAAGGCAGGGAGGCATTTCACCATTTGGTCTCCATCCTTCCCCTGCATTTAGAAGTGGTGCATTCACAGGAGAACCATCTCATGTGATTCCTTTTTTTAAAAAATGTTCAGACTTGTTCTCGGAGAAGCATAGAAGGGGAAATTATAGTGAGAAGACCATCTGCGCTCCCTTTTTCCTATTCAGGGCATGTTTCCTTCACCAGAAAGGGCAACGTATGACAGTCACTCTAGAAGTAAACAACGTGCAGTTAAGCTCCACAAAAACGCTTTTTGGTGGGGATGAACAAAGGCTCTGCCTGTGACACGCTTGCCACCCTCCAGCTCCAATAGCAGCTCCTTCCTTAAGGTTGTGTCTTGGTGCCTTCAAGCTTCTCTGTCCCAGTAAATTTTGTGCACGGCTCTTCCTATCGTTGCCCTTTGCTGAATCTCTGCCAACTGCATTCCCACCCCACCCCAGCCACTGCACAGGACATGGGAGCTGCTTAATAATAGATGGGCAGCTATGCTTCATGGCTCCACTTAAGGTTTTCATACTCTTTCAAACGCTTCGGTATGTCATTTATTTTTTATTCTGGGGAATGAGAATGTTCAGCCTGGCATTGGTCTTCTTAGCTCACTTGTGTGAAGAAGGAGAGGGAAGAAAACAACAAACAAACGATAAAAGGCATTTCTCAGTGAATGGGAAGCGTGGAATGCCTCTGCACTTTGTGAGCATGAATAAATCACAAAGCCGAGGGAAGGCGGGGTTGGGGGGCAGACAGAGAAAAGTGACTTATAAATGATTTAGAAATGAGCATTCAGGAATTAATGGCCACAACAGCAAAGTGCCAACCAGGTTGCAAATCGGTGTATCACAGAGGGGTTGCTTGGCCTGATGGCAGGTTGCTGAGGGAAAACACTAGTTCTGGCTCAAGAAACAAACAGTCCAAAACCTAGTGAATCTGTCCTTACTGTACTCTCAGGATGACGTACTTCTCCTGCTTTCTAGTGCTATGTGCGTGGCAGGATAGATTTTAAGGACTCCTCCACGTTTTCCTAGGATAGCATGGAAGCCTGGCCTAATCCATGAAATGTAAAGTGGCCTTTGTTGATGAGGTGGCAATGGGAGCTCCAGGCCCGCACCCCCTGCAAGGTAGATAAAATGATCTGCATTAGGGCAGAACCGCAAAATGTGCTATGCACCTGTATGCAGGGATTGGAAAGAATCATAAACTGGTGTTTGGATGGTGTAGTAAGAATTGTAGGGTTGACAGGTCTTTGACTATGTGGAGGGAAGCTTTCTCTTCTAATTATATACCCTTGAGGTCTGGATGAGAGTTCTGCTAGTTTGGGAAAGACTCCCTCCCCCACCCCCCATGCTCCATGGGTCACACTGGGCTTCATTTCTTGCTGGAAGTAGTTGATTTTTTTCCCCTTTTCCTATAGCTGTTAGCATAATTTGCTGACATCCTTGAATGATCAGGATCACTGTGTTGGCTGCTTATTTGGGTTCAGCCACTTTGAATTTCTTTTTAAAGTTTGTCCTTTAAGCAAAAGAAGCAGAACTAAAGTTCAGACAGGTACATAGAGGGAACCTGACAGAATCACTCATGCTAAGCGTAGAGTCACTTTTGAGTTTGAATAGCGGGAGGCCTGTTGGGAGTTTGATTTACTAGCAGACTTAGCTATCTGTATCCCTTCTCTGAGTGACAAAGGAGAGCACAGGAAAGGTCCCAGGCAGGAGTCTTTCTCAGTCCTGCTTCCTGAGATCCTTTTGGACAGAGTGTTGTACCACTAATCTACGGACCTTCCCATTGCCTTGACATACTGTGACCCAACGCGGCTTGGGCTAATATTGGAGGGAGGGCAGGGCACAGGATGTGGATGACTTTACCTTACAGTCAAAGATGGGGCCTGGTGATCTCTTTGAAACTCTGCTATGCCTATGAGTATAGTTATAGTAAACACTGCCTGTGTATATTTTAAACACTGGATAGCATCTTCTTCCTTGTCTTGATAACTGCTCCACATAAGGCTAACATAGAGGATCGTTTCATCCCACAATTGTATGTTGAGTATAGTAAAACTTTCCTGAGAGAGGATCACCCTACCTTAGAATGAAAACTCTCCCATCAAGGTAATCTGATTGCCTGCACGGTCTCCAATTCTGGCTTTGGATTTTTGGTGACTTTCTGAGAAGCCCAAGCTTCTTTCCTTGGAACATGAGGCCAAGGCGCATGGCGGACACCAAAGAAAAATGTTTGGATATATTTCCTGCTTGTTCCATGATGCTGCAAAAATATACATTTTTGGTTGGATCAAAGGTTTCCAATGTGGTTTTGGGAATGATAGGCTCTGGACTTGTAACATTTTAATGAAATATTTTAATACCTTTTTTAAAAGGTTGTATTCAAAGCTATTGCCTGTTCATATCTGCTCCCGAAGAGGCAACACTGAACACTGCAAAAGCTAGTCTATTGAATTATCCCCAAACCTTGCTGTTACTTTCAGTGAGATCAGGAAATGGCAAATAATACCATTTGTTGGAGGCAAAATTGGTGAGGAAATAAGGTCAATACAGGAAACCTGCACAAAGAAGACCATCTGAGCTCTAGAGGCAAGAGACATGGAATTAAGCACTGGACTATCTTGGTTCCATATATCAGTTAGGTCAGATGGATCCTTCATATAATCTCAAGGAAGCCCAATGCCTAAGGGATATACCAGGGTGGTGTACATGTAGTGTGGATACCTTGTCCCCCCAAAATTAACAGAGAAAACTTTGCACTGACAAAGAACATGAATGGTTTCTTCCAACACCATTCTAGTTATTGTCACCTAATATGTGTTGAGTTCTACATTCTATATCAGATTACTCTGAGCATGAGGGGTGAGGTGAGGGTTGGCAAAGCAGGTGATTGATTGATTGATTGACTGATTGATTGACTGACTGACTGATTGATTGATTGATTGATTGCAGTTTACCATTACTGGCATCTGGCTGTATAGCTGAAGTTGGCTTTTCTTTTCCTTTTTTTCTGAAAGGTTGTGTAGAGGCTGGGGGAAGCAGCAAAATGGAAAGTTCATCCACTCCCTTTTTGCTATATAGACAGCAGAGGGAGCGGGGTGGAAAGAAAAAGTGCTGTGAGAGGAGGCTTTAGGATAAGTTGTGGGATGTCATTGAGTGTTGAACTTCCTGAGTCATATCATCTCTTTTGGAAGTATTGAAGTCATCTACCTACATGATTGCCTGATAAGTTAGCCTGATACTTTAGGTTATATCTATTGTAATTATGCTGTACATCTCTTCTGTTCAATTGTCCCCACGTAGTGGAGAAAGCATAACATATACAAATGGCTCCTAGATTGCCTAGCCACTGTATATCTGTGCATCCATTATATTCTTGAAGGGTTTTCTTTTTTCTATATTCCTGATCCCACTGATCTTTAAAAGTGCATTTTATTTCTCAACCTTCCTTGTTTAACTTGCATGTTTCAATACCCTGACTCCGAGAAAAAGAAAAAAGAAAAAAGAGAGAGAGAGAAAAAATGTGTAAACTCTCAAAAGTATTCATGATATTGATGTCATAGATTGTGAGGAGCTAAAATAAGCTCAAACTTAGTTGGCAGGCTGGAGGCATCACCCGAAGAAGAAGCTCTGCACAATGTTCCTTTCCTAACGTATGCCATCAATCTGTGCTGCTTGCCATAGTAGGTTAGATATCTATATATGTTGTCTTGGAGGAAGAAAAAAAGAGAGAGAAGGAGAAAGAGGGAGAGGGAGAAGGAGAGAGGGGGAACTCACTGTTCAGTGAAATAGTCACTTTTGTTTAACCCTAAAGGATTTTGCTGGTGACCCTATTGCAGCTGGCAGATTTTAACATGTGCAGTGTAGAAGCTGTTAGGTTGGATATGCACTTGTTGTAGTTGCTTGGGATTTTGCCCTATGCCGTCGGCTTGCCTTGGCATTCCCGTTTGGAACACTGAGCAGGCTTCCACCAGTCCCCGTTGTGACAGTGACAGATGTTACACTCATCCACTTTCACTTCGATGCCAGCCGGAATGATGGTAGTTCCTGCAAAGCAGTTTGGACCTGGAAATGTACACACATAAATAAATTAAATGGTGAAGCTGAGCAGGAAATATGGGCTTGTTTACACTGGACTCCATCCACCTAAAGTTAACCACTTTTAAGTCCCATTAATGTAAATGAGCAAGAATTAAGCCAGGTATGCAGGATATATAGTGCTCATTCTGATTATCTACCGTTTCTTTCCTGTTTGGCCTTCTAAACAAACAGGTCAACACATTTTTAAAAAGCATATACAAATAAAAAGCTGATGCAAATAAGCAAGAAACTTGAACTGGGTGCGAAATGAGAAGACAATTGAGCTGAGTTCTAAGTAGGCTCCAAAGTGCAGATCAGATTTGATACACATCTGCACAAATGAAAAAGAATGACACCAGGCGCTTTGTCATGGTTGCATTTCCTTAATAATTGAGTGCAGTAGGACCCCGTTATCCATGGTATCAGTATCTGCAGGTTCAGTTATCTGTGGTTTACCACAGCCCTATATACAACATCAAAGAGGGGAGTGCTAGTGGCCATTGTCCTGCCTCCTTGTATGTTGTGTATAGAGTTTGCTACTATCCACAGTTTCAGGCATTTGTGGTAGAGCATGGAACAGATCCCCCATGGATAAAGGGGTCCTACTGTATTACCTTCTTCCTTGTCTGGCTGCAGGCATTGAGGTGGGCATGCAATTTAGCACGTAATGCTTTGGCCTGTGTATTTTCAGCTATGCGTTCTATCACTAATTTATGTCATAAAATCAGGCAGTGTGGGAAGAAAGCTGGGGAGATTCTAGGGGTGCCCCTTTTTCTGCTAACCTCCATTGCTATTTCTCATTACAAAATGAAGCATGAAGCAATTCTTACTTTAGAGTATAAAAATCTTCAAGGCCAATACCTCTTATTTAAATCTATGATAGTCATGAAGTACATGGCTGGTAAGATGGCTACTATACACATGTTTCCTGCTTTACATTTGAAGGCTTTCCAGTCCATGACTGGTTTAAAGATAAAATAGGAGCCATGAAATTGCAGATATTCCCTAACATCTAGGCTGTAGCTAGAGTAGGTGCACAGGTCAAAGACTTCTCCACTATTGTGAGATGCACTGCATATCTATTTATATTACATCAATTATGTCAAAATCTGCATTTCCATGTATAAGTACATGCATTTTTATATGACCCAAGTCTTCATTTCAGTGAAACTGTGAGTATCTTTTTTTAAAAATTTTGGCCACCCTATTAGGGTCAATCAGAAAGGTAAAAGTGAAGATGATGCCCCTGAGAGAGATCATGACATGGACTATGGAAGAGGGCTGTTAATGGAAATCAGTGAGCTTCTCCCAAATCCCTTGAACACTGCTGTGTAAAACAAGCAGGCAAACAAACCTCAAGCTAACTGTTTTCTGTCTTTCACAGTTGCAGAGGAAGCAAACAAAACATGTTTGAAAAATCATGTACTGTATGAAGTTGCTACCAAAGACACGAAGCTCTTCACTTTGGATAGGACTGTTTTTAATCAGGACGTAGCTACAAGTGATAGACCAAGCTGTGGACTAATCACCATTCTTTGCAGTCTCATCCACACTCAGCTTTGTAGAAGAAGGAAATCACAAGAAGTACATCCTGAACAAGCCCAACCTGTTCTATTCTCCTATTCTTCATCAATGCATAATTTTGATTTTACGGCTGGAAAGTTCTTCCTTACAGTACAGGGTAGGAAGTCTAGATTTCTTGAGTGTGGTTTTTCCAATTTTTTCTTCAC